GAAGTACTCGAGCTAGACTACTAAACTGCCAACATTTTCCCTGATGGTTTGATGTAAGACCTACTGCTAGGTCATTTTCTTTCTCGAACTCATTATACATCAGTAATACCAGTACTATTGGCAGTATCTAATCGATGGGGAAGTTGTACTTTTGGGTGTCCCTAACCTAGCAGTACATTTCCCTTTGTTTGTTAGACTATAGAGAGTTAGTCCAAGAAACACTCTTATCATGTTTACAAATCGATTCTTACTATTGTCATCGTTTTCGTACAGGATGCCGCCTCGCAAGCGTCCAACCAGGGGAACTCCCGCAACTCAAGCTCCACCACCACCACCTACCCCGTCGGTTCCTCCGCAGTTCGACCCGGTGTTGTTCCAAACAGCCGTGACTGCAGCTGTGACCGCCGCTCTGGCACAAGTCAATTCTGGTGGTGCCAGTGGAGGTGGACTGGGCACTAACTCTAGCCAGGGTGAAACCCACCCCCGTGCTCGGGAATGCACCTACAAAGATTTCATCAGTTGCAAGCCTACCTACTTCAACGGGACCGGGGAATCCTTGCCCTAACCCAATGGTTCGAAAGAACCGAAGCAGTATTCGAAATGTGCTCCTGCCCCGAAGGGAGCAAGATAAAGTTTGCTACTTGTACCCTTACCCAAAGGGCCCTAACATGGTGGAATGGCCATGTCAAAGCCCTCTCCCTGGTAGCAGCTAACGCCATGGGTTGGGATACACTGAAAGACCTAATGATGACAGAGTACTGCCCAAAGGGAGAAATTCAGAAATTGGAGGAGGAACTCTGGAGTCTCAAAATGCAGGGTTCCGATATAGTAGCTTACACAACCCGGTACTGCGAGCTGGTAGCCCTATGCCCTAACATGATCCCCTCGGAAGCCAAGAAGATTAAGCGATACATCGGGGGCCTAGTGCCTCCGTATCGTGGGAACGTTCTATCATCAAGACCAACGACCTTCGAAAGTGCCAAGGAGTTGGCCTAAATGCTTATCGATCATGAAGTTCCCCGTGCTCCATCAACAACCACAACCATCACTACTGCTCCAACTCACGCCTCCGACAACAAGAGAAAACGGGGAGATCGTAAGAAGGGGAAATCAGTTAAATCCTCTTCCAGTAACCAGCAAATAGTGGCTGTCCATGCTGCCACTACTCCTACTGCCCCTGTGCCCACCAAAACATATGCGGGGAATCTACCCAAGTGCGATAAGTGCGCCTTCCATCATAACGGCCCATGCCGTGAAATGCACTGCACCAATTGCGACCGGAAGGGCCACACCATCCGATTCTGCAGAGCACCTCCCAAACCTATTTCCCAAATTCCCAGTTCGGGAGCGAGCCAGGCCTGCTATGGCTGTGGCGAAGTCGGACATTTCAAAAGAATTTGTCCAAAGGCTGGCAACGCGGGAGGAGCAGGTAGACTACTTGCTATTGGCCATAATGACGTTGTAGCAGAGCCCACCGTAGTCACAGGTACGTTCCTTCTCGATAACTATTATGCTTGTATTCTATTCGATAGTGGGGCAGAAAGAAGTTTCGTAAATCAAAACTTTAAACACTTACTCAAACAATCACCGCAATCACTGAAGTCTCGATAACTATTATGCTTGGACATACAACCAACATTACTATTTAACTATAATAGGTATAGTTAAGGATTAGTACTCAGTGCTGCTATTGCCATGACAACTACCAGAGTCAGTTCAGTTGTGAGTCAATATATGCTATGTACTATACAAGAGAACATTACATACTATACAAAGAGAACACTATATGCTATACAAAGAGAACAATACATACTATACAAGAGAACTTACTAAAATAGAATGTGGCATACTATTTCTCGATACGACACATCTTTGTGCTATCACCGCGTAACCAGAGTCTCCTGGAGGGAGAGCGGGCATTATGTGTATAGATCTATACGGGACAGACACTCCCACACCCCAACTGCTAGCTACAGTCCGAGCCGTCTAGGCCCAGGGGTGACAAAATGTCACATCACTACATATGACTCGGAGGGTCAAAGGGATTCGATCGTCAATCAGCATGGTTACGTACGAGTTCACATTCAAACCTTTAATTAATACTTTAAGAATTAAAGGCAACAGACTCCCTGAGGAGTATTGTACATTTAATACTACCTGGAGCCTGCATTTCATTACATATGGCCGACAGTGATACTGTTGGGGTAAAACATTTTTTTCTCATTACTATACATGAATAAAGTCTAAAACTATATTTTCAAACTAATAACTACTGGGAAAAGTTGTACATTATCAAAGGAACAAACAAACCATCGGGTCTTGGTGAAGACTACTTTTTCTGGAAAACATAGGGTTTTCTAGGGCTCATACTATTTTCGAACACCGAAACTTTCTTTTACAATGTATAATTGTGAATATTTTTATACAGGAAATGACACTAAATACTTATGAACTCACCAGCTTTATGCTGATAAACGTTTTCAAAATAACTTGTATTCTCAGGTCATCAGTAGACAGGTACGGATGCAGCTTTTGAGAAGACGGAGCACACATAAGACTCCACTTTATTTTGATTGTATTTTTGGTGTCTAACATTTGTACGGAACACGTTTGTATTACAATTATTATCTTAATGCAATGGATGTTGTTGCTTGTCTTTACTATTATGCTTTGTTATGATACTGCACATGACGTCCTCCACCCCAGAACGTATTCCGCCGTTCTCGGTTTTGGGGTGTGACACATGTTGAATTGGTAATTTTGGTTTTGTGGTGATTATTTGCTAAAAAGTTTGGTAATTTGGTTTTTGTCCCAAGTGCAAGAAATAGCAATGTACTTTGGTTTTCTATCTTAGTTTTAAAATAGCAATCTACTTTAGCATCGTAAAATGCATGTTGAATTGGTAATTTTGGTTTTGTGGTGATTATTTGCTAAAAATTTTGGTAATTGGGTTTTTGTCCCAAGTGCAAGAAATAGCAATGTACTTTGGTTTTCTATCTAAGTTTTAAAATAGCAATGTATTTTGATAGTTTTTGGTTATGTTTGACAATCTAACTTATAAGTTTATATATATATATAGATATATATATATATATATATATATATATATATATATATATATATATATATATAGATATATATATATACTTATATATATATATCTATATTGTTATTAATTATGTAGTTGGAAAATCTTCGAGCAATGCTCAGCGACCCGGCATGTAGGGATGAGCTTTATTCGTTTTTTCAATCCCACAATAATCAAGAAAACAATGGGAACGAAGATGATGGTATGTAAGGATGTGTTTTATTTGCATATGTTGTCATGCTTTGCTACTTGGTAGATTGTAAAACTTTGGTTGTTTTGCTACTCGGATATTATGACTTTTGATATTTAATTGTAATCGGATGTTTGTTTGTAATTTGCATTGACACTATTATGTTTGATATTTAATCGGATGTTTGTTATATTTAATTTGTAATTAGCGTCGACACTATTTTTTTGATATTTAATCGAATATTGTTATTACCGGCGACATTATCACCGCCAACCCAAAATCATTAATTAAAAAAAATTAAAAAAAATGAAAACTGTTATTACCGGCGACACTTTACCGGCGACACGCTTATTAGCGGCGACTCAACTCATTGGCGGCAACATGGTCAATAGCGGCGACTTTTCTCATTAGCGGCGACAAAGTGATCAATAGCGACGAATCAGTAGCGGCGACTCAGTACCGGCGACGCGTCGCCGCTATTAGTATTACCGCGACTTTTTGGACTTTTACCGGCGACTTTTGTCGCCGGTAATGGCCTTTTCCTTGTAGTGACAACATTGAAAACTTCTGGCCCCCGCGTAGCGGGGTAACCTTTCTAGTTGTTATCAATATATTAGTACTATAATATTTAAATGTATTAAATAATGTTAATATAATATAAAAATAATAAAATTTAATAAAAACAGGGGGTATATGAATAGCCTCTGCCTGTGAGTAATTTATGAGTATCGCCTACATAGACCTTGGAACAGCATCGCCGCTTGGAAGCAAACATTTAATTTATTTTAAATTTTGGTTGCAATGGAGAAAATGGGAGACGATGCACGCCCATCGGCATTGATCTCGGAACAACCTATTCATGTGTCGCCGTTTGGAAGCACGATCGCATCGAAATTATTCCAATAATCAAGGTAATCGAACGACACCGTCTTGTGTGCTTTCGTTGATGCAGCGCGTCTCTGGCGATGGCGCCAAGAACCAAGCGGCCATAAACCCTGCACACACCATATTTGGTAAGCTTCTCTTTCTTTTTCTAGGGTTTATTGAGTGCTGTTATATTACTATGATTAAGAGCAAGGAAAAAAATACATATTTTAAGAACATATGAATCGTCAAAACCGGAGTCTGATACCTTTAAGTCCACTGAAGTCTGAAGTCTTTGATCCTATTTATAAACTAAAATTTAAAAGCAACGCCACCCGATGGTTCGATTTTAAAGTTCTAGGGTTTTTGGTTCAATGTCTCTGGAAGAGTTTGAACTTTGAAGAAGAACCATTTGAACAAGCAACTAATTAAATACACGGCTGCCTTTTTCTGTGGAATGGTGGAAAGTCTCGATTACACTTTTACTTTTAAGCAAAAGCAACGTGAAAACATATGAATGAAGATCCAGAAGTTGTTTTAGCCAAGACTGAGCTTCCCTGTTCAGTCCAACTTGTACAGCTCCTCATATAGCATTTCAACAAAATTTACTTTTGAATTAAAATCGTTACTGATATAGCTAATTTTTACAATTTTGCTATGGCTTAATTAATTAAATATACATGCATGTCGAACTGCAGATGCTAAGAGGTTGATCGAAGGAGGTTCAGTGATTCCAAAGTGCAGGATGACATGAATTATGGCCTTTTAAGGTCATAGAAGGTCCCTGCCGACACACCAAAGATTTCTGTCTCCTACAAAGGTGAAACAAAGGAATTTTTAGCTGAAGAAATATCATCAATGGTTCTTAGGAAGATGAAAGAAACCGCTGAAGCATACATTGGAAAACCCGTGAAAAACGCTGTCATTACTGTTCCAGCTTACTTCAACGAATCACAACGTCATGCAACAAAGGATGCTGGTGCTATGCCGGACTCAACATCATTAGCATGATCAACGAGCCTACTTCAGCTGCAAATTGCTTATGGTCTAGACATCAATAGTCTTTGATCAAAACAAAAAAGAAAAAGAAAAATGTGCTCGTCTTCGACTTGTGGGTGGTGGCACTTTTGATGTCTCTATATTGACAATTGTGGAAGGAGCTCATATCATTAAGGTGAAAGCCGTTTCTGGTGACACCCATTTGGGAGGCGAGGATTTGATAATCGCATGGTGGATCACTGTGTTCAGGAATTCAAAAGGAAATGGGAAAAAGACTTGAAGCCTAATAAAAAGCAGTGGGAGACTAAGATGTGCTTGTGAGAAAGCAAAAAGGATTCTCTCATGCGATACTCAGACTTCGATCGAACTAGATTGCTTGCATGAGGGGATTGATTTCTGTATGAAGTTTAGTCGGGCTAAATTTGAAGAGCTCAACATGGGTTATTTTGATCGCTGCATGGAGACTGTAGAGGCATGTTACGTGATACAAAGATGAAGAATCAAGTGTACACGAGGTTGATTCTTGTTGGTGGGTCAACCAGAATACCAAAGATCCAGTTAATGTTGCAGAAACTTTCTACGGACAGGAGGTTATGCAACAGAGCCTATACACACGATGAGGTGTCGCATATGGTGCGGGCGGTTATGGCTGCAAAGTTAAACACTAACAGTGATAAAATTAGGTTTGGAGATTTGGTGTTTTGGATGTCACTCCCTTGTCCCTTGGTAATACAATTAATGGGAGAAATATTTGAGTGGTGATCCCACGTAACACTA